AATTAAATAAAAAAGCTTAACCGTAGTACCTTGTCTGTCGTTTTTAATGAAACATGCATATATATATATATATATATATATATATATATATATATATATATATATATATAGGTATGACATTGAAACATTGGTTCCCATATGTTCACCAAAGTTAAGCAATGCTGAGTATGGTCAGTTTCTAGGTGGGTGACTGATTGGGAATACTAGGTGCTGTAAACTTGGATGCATGGGTGGTGCAATAGGTAATGGCTCAGAATTCTTAATTGAAGAGCCAATTTCCAATTCCAGTTGCGATTGTTATATTCATGTATGCGCAAATACTGTTGAGAAAGGCATGAATCCCTCTTCTTCCCCCAGCTATGGGTTAATTAGTAAGAATTGTTTCAATAAATCATTATTTCCTAAAACAAAAATTCGTACAGTCTAAAAACATTCTTAAATAACCTGCAAGCAGTTGATAACCCATGAAAAATGAATGAGTGAATCAATCAATACAATTTTATTTTGCAAATTATACAAAGATATATATATTTTTCTTTATTATTTTACCCCAAGCAAGGCAATAAAGCCACTATGTTACGGCAATGTGAAAGAGACTAAAACATAGATACTAGGTCATCAGTGATGTAAATATATATATATATAAATATATATATATATATATATATATATATATATATATATATATATATATACATTACTGATGTCTCGGTCTCTCTCTCTTCTATATATATATATATATATATATATATATATATATATATAGATATATATATTTATCTTTACTTTAAATCTTATTTTTAGTGTATACCTGTGCAGCTTCCTTGAACCTTTTCTATAAATATTTTCATAGTATTTGTTCTAATGAGCTTTCCTTTTCAATACCTTTTTCTCAAATCTGAATCACCATAAACAAGGCAGTAATGCCACTAAAACACAAGGCGTTACAGCATGTGAAAGAAGGATTAAGAACAAAAACATTAATGATGAGCTAAAAGAGAAGAGTGTAATCAGGTGGACAGTAGATAGCGATTGATACTGAATTTTAATTTTTGCAGATTAAAGTTGGCTGGAAAGCATGGAGCCAGAAGGGAGTTCCACAAGCAAGAAGTGCAAGAAAAGAAACTATTAGCCAGGAACTATCCAGCTCATCTGTAAAATGTTGAGATCTTGATGCCAGTCTCGAGCTGCACTTAAAGTTAAAAATTCTAGGTAGCATAGAAAATAGCTCATCCAAACAATTACCATAAAAGTATTTATAAAAAATGCACTGAGAAGCAACCTTATGGTGGTGGGAAAGTGACTGGAGCTGAGCTGCCAGATCAGGACCAATAATATTGCTGAGTCTTCTTTGGATGCTATCAAGAAGCTCAAGGTCAATGGCAGGCACACCAACCCATATGTGGCAGCAATATTCTAAGTATGGACGAATGGTAGACTTATAGGTACCAAGAATTTATGAATTTAAATGCAGTACTAGCTTTGTGGTAAGGTCACATCATTTTATAGTTGAAATTGCTTTGTGCAACCATAAATTTTATACTAACAGTTTCTACTCTTACATATTTCGTTTGTGGGACTCACTTCTGCATTCTTGCTTTGCCATCCACTTTCCTCTTCAATAATTTAAATGCAATGTCAATTGCTATCTTCTGTATTTTTTAATTTCTGTTCTTTCATTGTTATCGCTCCTTAAAATGTTCTCATATTCTTTCTTACTCAATAATTCCTCGTGTCTTAGTGGCTTTGTTGCCTTACTTGAGGTGAAATGATTAAAAAAAAGAGACAAAAAATATAAAGAAAAAATGTGATCTCCAGTAGGGTTCAAACCAACATTCTTCTTTGTAGAAGAAACCATGTTCAAATCCTGCTGGAGAGCACAATCTCTTTATAAAGTTTTCTTGAGTGTGCTGGCCAGCAAAGAAAATAGACTCTGTTTAAAAAACGGGCATCTATACAGACATGGGTAAACTTTCATTATATATATCGTGTATTTGGGCAGCAAAACTCTTTATAAAAGTTTCAGTAAAGGCATATAACACGCCATGTCCATAAAAAAATACATCATAAAAAATTAATTAAACTGTCACATTTTCATGTCCATAAAAAGAAATAAATAAAATTAATTAAAGTGTTAAAAATTAATTCTTATGGCAACTACTCTGACAAGTTTTTTTTTTTTTTCTCTGATGCCTTGACTACATTTATTTAATCAATGCTACTGGATTGCCATTTAGGTCCTGCTTATTTACTGTTGAAATAGCTAAATGTAATTGCCTCTTCTATTCCAAATGTCCTTCCATTTACTTGCTTCTTCTGATAACTACAATCTTCAAAAATTTAAATGCTTTATCACTCTTTGTAGACCCAGATTGGATCGGGATGCTTGACTACACTTGCGATATTCACTTGATGTTGCACCAACAGATTACCAATTATTTTGGCCCCTACAAAATTCTATAAATAAGAAGAACTTCAAATTTCTTGAAACTTATAAAAAACAATTTGTTAGCATAGAATTTATGATTACATCTAGCCAGCACAATGGTAAATTGATGAGATCTTGATGCCAGTCTAGAGCTGCACTTAAATATAAAAACTGTAGGTACCATAGCAAAGAGCTCATTTATAGAAAATATCTAAATATTGTCTTTGAAATTAGTTTTCAAAATACTACAAGCTGTTGTTCTAACACAGTATAATTCAGGTACTTACCCCAATATATCCTTGAAGCCAAAGCCCAATCGTATCTTCCAAGAACCTTGTAGTTCGGCACTCTCAGAATAAACCATTTATAGGGTATACTTGCAAGGCTTTCTTCACCTTTCATATTTATATTACCAACAGCCACTACAAATACTTTCACATCCTTGTCTTGTAGCAATTTGTCTTGCACAGATGACCAGTAAGCATCCTTGGATTTTCCGTCAGTAATAAAAACTGCAATATTGGTAACATCTTGTCTGTATCCAAATTTCTCAGTAAACGAATATTGCCTGGCGTAATATATTGCACGTCCTGTATATTCTGCACCTGTCATTACAGGAATCTTATCAATGGCATGCAGTACTTTCCTGAGATCTGAATAGGTATTCAAATTAATGTTATCATTTACCATTGTACTGTAAGTTATTGCACCAACACGCACAAAGGAAGGAGCGATACGGAAGTATTTAACAACAGACTTCATAAATTCTTTCACAATCTTGAAGTTCTCCTTTCCAAGATATGTAGCTGAGTCGATTATAAAGACAATGTCAATCTTTGCAGTCAGATAACCTGCAAAAAAAAAAATAAAAAAATCATTCAAAGAATTGAAAAATCATGGTCCTTAAAAAGATCAAGTTCATCTCCCAAAAATATTCAATGGAATAATGTTATCAGGTGTTTCAGCATCTAATATTACATATTCAAGATGAAAACATCAAAAACAAAACAAAATAAATATTATTTTATGGAACAGACATAGTATCATATTATTAGGACTACCAACAACAGCAACAATTAAATTGGATATCACATGTAACTCTAAGAGAAAATAATGACAATCAAAATGTTGATTTTCCACACTACTTCAAATAAAAAGTTAGGAAGGAAACCCCCATCAATAATGAAAAGAGTGATAAGAGCTATTGGGTTTGAGAAGAGAAAATAATGACATAATAAAGATGTTGATATTCCGCACTACTTCAAATAAAAAGTTAGGAAGGAAACCTCCATCAATAATGGAAAGAGTGATAACAGCTAATGAACCTGAGAAATCTATTTTCCTGAAAATTTGTTTTAAGAAATAAATTTTATAAATTTCTACCAACAGTAGTTCTGGCTGCTCATTCAATGAATTCCAAATGTTTTAAGGAAACAGCAAACATTTGTGTCATTCTCTTTTTTATTTTTGAAATATTGTTATTCAAAATTCAGTTGATTTATACTTTGATATAACCCATAAAGATATTGACATTCTACACTCGTTCAAACAAACGATTAGGAAGGAAACTTCCATTAACACGGGAAAAAGTGATAAGAGCTACTGGACTTGAGAAACATATTTTCCTGAAAAATCTTTTTAAGAGAAAGATTTTATAAATTTCAACTGACTACAGTTCAAGCTTCTTGGTCATTGAATGTTGATCGTTTCCTTATAAAGAAATGGCTATATATTACCATTACCATTTATATTATACTACCACTGTCCCAAAATTATTGTTACATCTGCATACATATTTCATAACATAAATGAAACAATGACTATGGGACAGATATAGTTTGCTATTACTTATATAATTCTATTTCGGTTTCATCATAGTTGTTACATTTGCATACACATTTTTATAAACTTGATGTATCAACTATTACCAGACAGAAGAAGTATATTGTTATTGTTTCTATAATATTTCTTCTGTCCCATAATAATTGTTACATTTGCATACATATTTCAATGATTAAATTTATCAACTATTTTAGGACAAAGATAGTATACTTTTATACTATTACAATTGTGCTTGCTCTTCCCTTCATTAGTTTGCACAATCATTATGCCTTGCCAATAGCTGAAATAATGGACTATTTCATTTGATTGCATAGAAAGAGGGGAAAAGACAGTACTTGATGTCAGTGAAAGAAAGAAAGAAAAAAGAAAGAAAAAAAGAAAGAAAGAAAAAGAAAGAAAGAAATAAGGAAAGAAAGAAAGAAAAAGAAAGAAATAAGGAAAGAACGCAAAAAAGGAAAAAAGAAGAGAAGAAATGTTTGCTGTGTGTTTTAATGTTTTCATCTGGACACACTTCTTAAAATAACAACCATGATTCGTACTTATGACTATTATTGCAATATTTTGTTAAAATTGTTAAGCTCAGATATTTAATGATGTTATCAGCGAATTTTGACAGATATTTTATTTTCCTAGAACTCACCATGAGCTTATTCATTTATTAACTTAATTAAGATTTCTCAGAATATTAAAATACATTATGCATCAACTATTATAATTCATATAATACTATGTCTGTACCAGAATAATTGTTCCATTTGCATACACATTTCATTCATTAGATATACCACAATGGACTTAATAAGATGGTATTGTATCTTTAATTGGTTTATTAATTTTGGTGATGAAGTAAAAAGATTACTAACCTGTCATGACGTATACTGGTGGTGCTGTAAGAAAAAAAAATTTCGTGTAAATATTGGGCAGCAATTCTCACAAAATATGTTTTTCCTTATCCAAAAGAAAATTAAATAAAATAGGATTTAATTGATATAGAAATTGGTTACAGCTGTAGTGCTCAGTAGATCAAGCATAGATATAAATACCTGATGCTAGATCTTGGAGCCTTAAACCTGCTGCAGAGGAGACAATAAGAACTTAATTTAAGGCTCTGAGATCTAGCTTCAGTATTGTCCCACAGCTTAAGGTCAACATCCAAAGAAGTGTTACACATCCAAAGAAGTTTCTGTAATATTATCAGTCCTAACCTGGCATCTCAACTTCAGTCACTTTCCAAGTGCCATAACATGGCTTCCTTCTGTCTTTTTTTATGAATGTTTTCATGGTAGGTGTTCTAATCTGCTCTCATTCTTAGTACCTTGACTGCATGAATTTAAACCTTGGTTACACTGTTTTACTGTTGAAATAGCTAGATGCAACCATAAGTCATAGTTTCTTTTCTCAAATTTCTCACGTGGGAAACTCACTTTCAGTTTCTTGCATCCCTGCTACCTATATTTTTCAAAAATTTAAATTCAACATCAAATCACCATCTTCTGTTTTCTTAATTCCTGTTCTTTTATTGTTCTTTCTCTTCACTAAGTTCTTCTGATTCTCATCCATTCCCAGTAACCATTTGTGTTTTAGTGATATTATTGCCTTTCTTTAGAATGAAATCATTAAAAGATATCCTCATATGTACACTTTACTGCCTTCTTTTATGCCTACATAACAACTTCATTTACTAACCTTCAAACTTGACTGGCTTTTAGGCCTTGTGTTAGGTGAACAATAATATTTTTTTTAAAAATCAATATTTTATTTGTATATACATGTTTTATTCCACCCCACACCCCATAACAGTTTTTTTTTAATTTCAATTTTGCATTTTATTTAACATATTTCTTTTGTATAAATTCCATTGGTTTTTTCATGGGTATTTATCATTTAAATTTTATTAACTGTTAAAATTTAAAAAATTGACCACAGCATTTTTAAGCAGAAGGTTTACCATGGTAACATTTTTTTTTCCTTAGGTTTTTCACAGTTGTTTTGATAATGCTTATGTGATATGAGCAAAACATCAAATGGTAAATAAAATTTAAACATCTAATTGGTTTACATATATTCTATCTTAAATGCTAACCAAGAACAAATTATAAATTAAATAAGATTATGAATAAAATAAAATAAAATTATAAATAAAATAGAATTATAAATAAAATAAAATTATAAATAAAATAGAATTATAAATAAAATAAATAAAATTAAATAAAATTAAAATAAAAAAGAATAAAATTAAATAAATTAAAAAAAATAAAATATAAATAAAATAAAATAAAAAATTATAAATAAAATAAAATTATAAATAAAATAAAATTATAAATAAAATAAAATTATAAATAAAATAAAATTATAAATAAAATAGAATTATAAATAAAATAAAATAAAATTATAAATAAAATAAAATTATAAATAAAATAAAATTATAAATAAAATAAAATTATAAATAAAATAGAATTATAAATAAAATAAAATTATAAATAAAATAAAATATATAAATTTTAATTTGCCAAAGTTTATATTTATATAATTTTAATAATTAACATTCTCAATTTCATACTTTCAGTATTTCCAGATTCTATATGCTTAATCAACTAATGAATTAATGGCAAACTGATTTGTTCTAAAAACATGTCTACTTACGTATTTCACAATTCATTCCAGTGTAATAATTCTTACAGGTGCATCTGTAGCTTTCATCAACATTGGTACAGGTGGCTCCATTCTTGCAAGGCTTCAGTCCACATGGATTTGCTTCAGAAACAAAATAAAACATTTGAAATTTATAAAAGAATCTGTAACATTTTGTTGTCAAGACAAAATAGATTTTAAGTTTAATTGGCAAAATATTTGCTCTGTGATATTTATTTCTTCAAGACTATCATAGCTCTCCACAACGTCCAGTCTCTTGTAGCTCTAAGCAACATTTGACTCTTTGCAATCCCTCTTTGTCTCCATTTTGCCACCCATCACATAAATTTGTTATGTAGTTAGTCACTATTTCTCTCTGTACCTATTGCCTTCAATCTGTCCTGTGAGTGTAGAATTCTCTGAGCCCTTTTTCCTCATGTGGCCAACAAATTTCAACTGTCTCTTTCTGATTGTAAGTATAAATATAATTTTCACTTCCATTTTCCTTAATACTTCTCAAAATCCATAATATCTGTCTGTTGAACCACATCTTCGGTATCGCAATATTCCTGGGTATGATGATAAACTACATCTTGCAGCAAGGCTTCTGATTAGGATATTGGCAGTTTTGAGGAGTGTGAAACCATCTCTTAATTGTTGCTTTTCCCATATCAACTCATGTAGAAACTGTTAGGATCTCAGCTATGGTCAAAAGGTGAACCACCAAACAAAATACTATGAAAATATTTAAATACATTCTTATAGTAAAAAAAACAGCAATATATTTTTATATAAAAAAAGGGAAATTTTTTGTGTTCATTTGGTATTTCCCTCTCTGACCAACAAGCATAATCACACACAAACAAGCATAAATAAATTCAATTTTTAAAAAATAAACCATTTTGTCTGATAATCGCAAAAGCATGAAACCCAGTGTCAAAAACTCATAACCAGACTACTGAATATGTTAGCTCTATCACTGATATTCAGCACATTCCAATAAGTACTAAGTATATATATATATATATATATATATATATATATATATATATATACATAACATATATATATATACATAATGTACATATATATACATGCATAATATGCATATATATACATATATATATCTATCTATATATATATATATATATATATGGATATATATATACATATATGTATATGGATATATATATACATATATGTATATGGATATATATATATATATATATATATATATATATATATATATATATATATTATTTACCCACTGCTCCATGCAGCAAGATGTGGCATAAGGCTGAGTTTAAAGTGGGGTATCCAAGCCTGTAGGCTCAGGCAAAAATTCCCTATAGACCATGTAAAAACGGTGTCAGTTTCCCGAGACGAGACTCTGCCCTTCGGTAGAGCCTCCTCTGTGGATACTCTCTGACATAAGCCAGGTATGTACATATATATATATATATATATATATATATATATATATACATGTATATATATATATATATATATATATATATATATATATTAGTGTAAAATACCTATTGCAAAGTACTTATAGTAATGTACTTATAGTAATGATTAACTATTATATTTCCTGCATAACATCATGAACTTCACTTTTTGTCTTTTCTTCTTCTCATAAAATGCTATACAGTAACACTCTACCTGGTGAGGCTCTTGGTCCTAGGACTGTTTGAACCTCAGTATAAAAATGTTCGGTTGAGCCCCATTATTTTAGAAAAACACTGCAGGCTTTCTAATAATTAAATTGTCACAATACAAAAACACGGAAACACACACACAAATACATATATATATACACACACACACACACACACACACACACATATATATAATGGATTTTACTTTTTAATCTGACATTATTTCTGATTAAGTGTTATTTTAGTGTAAACCTATCTTTGAGTAAACGCCTTTTAATTTTAGACAGCGTGCATTACATCTACTGATCACTGCACTCGACAGATGTAATCTACACTGTTTAAATAAAAAAGCATCCAATGAACAAACATTTTATAATATGATATATATATATATATATGATAAAAATATAGTTTTAAGGTATGCTTTATTTATGGGTTAATGTGCTCATTATTGGGGATAGAGCATATATAAATATAAAAATGGACACTGAAGTTAATACCATAAATGTGGTCAATAAAAAACCCACAAAGAATAAATAAATAAATAACTAGATAAAATAAAGAAAATATTCTAAATAAACAAATTAAGTAAATAATAACCAAACTATGAATTCACACATAAACACAAGTAAATGTGATAATAATAATAAACAACAGATAATTAAGTAATCAATAATAAATAATGAGTAAACAGCAAATAACATTGTAAAATAGCTACAAATAACCACATTTGGATCCTCAATTATTACTACTCAATAACCTCTAGAATAATTTGTAACATAATTGTAATTGTCCACCCAATAACCATCAGGATAATACAGTAGTCCATATTACGCATAATGAACAAATGACCAGCATATATAAATAGTTGGGCTAAACAGTACACATGGTTTGAAGCTTGTGTTGAAGCATGAAAACTGTCACCACTTAGTACTGATTTTAGTGTCTCTGTCTTTCTTTCTCTCTCTCTCTCTCTCTCTCTGTATATATATATATATATATATATATATATATATATATATATATATATATATATACGCACACACACACACACAGACTACAGTTCAAAAGTTTGAGACCACACCTGGTGATTTTTTTTTAAATTGGCCCAAAAAGTAGTTGTTATACATGTTTTTTTTTTGTTTTTTTTTATATTAGAAATGATATTATGACAAAAAAGAATAAAGCATTTTATGACTAAATTTTGCTCTCACTGAAGTAACCTTCTTGATTACTGCAGGACAAATTTTTGGCATTCATTGCAAAAGTTCATCCCATGCTAATTTTGGGGTGGCTTCAAACTTTTGAACTGTAGGATATATATATATATATATATAAATATATATATATATATATATAACATTTTTGGTACCTTATTAATTTATGAAATTAATTTAATATCAAATATTTGCTTACGTTCAATACAGGTTTTTCCCATGAAGCTTTCTGTGCAGATACATCTAAAAGTTGATGCTACATTGACACATGTAGCACCATTCTTGCATGGCTCAAGTCCACATGGATTTGCTGTAAATGGATAGCAGTCTTATAAGACAAACAAGCGTAAAATAACCATTACCATTATTTTGAAGACAACAATTTGGAAAATAGATAGTTGTATTTGAATATTTTTATTGAACAGAAATTTTGTCTTTAAAATCAGTATATATTGTACCAAACGAAAAAGGGTTAAAAACATTAAAATAAAAAAATATTAAGAGTAAAAAAAAAAAAGATTTACTGTTATTTAGTTTAGTTCCAAACCTACAAAATCCTCATTGTTTTTACTTGGAAAGAAATCAGATCTTTCATTACTGGATCCAACATTATAATCAAACAGAATGTCAATGTCAGTCTTATTACATTTCTGATACCAACTTGACATTAAGCATGCTGAGAATCCAATGAAAACTGAAATACCAATTAGACAATTACTAACACTAATTGTTTACAATGTTTGAACTGTTGTACTCATGTTTATTTTCACATTCACAACGTTTTTTACTTATGATAGGGATGGGACACACAACTTAAATCACTTTTAGGATCAATCAACCAATGCTTTTATCCACTGGGCTTCTTATTCAAGAATACACGGCCCAGTGAATGAAAGCATAGGTTGATTGATCCTAAAAGAGTTGTGTGTCCAATCCCTGTTCTCAGCAGTGAGAACAAAACTCAGAGGCAGAGAGAACAAAAACTTATCAAGGGGATTCGAATTTCAAACTGAAGCCTTTATTTCATGCATGGGGTAGATTGTTCTAGTTCCATGGGCCATGCCTCTTCCGGATATCTTAGTTATCTCTCTTTAACTCAACTCTACAAGTTTTTGTTCACCACTGCAGTAGCCAGGTATTGGACTCACTCTTTGGGTAAAGTCATTGGCTCCAAACAACACCTTTATTCATTGGGCCATGTGTCCTTGAGGACCTGAAGAAGTCTGGAGAGTGCAACAGCCGAAACATCATGGATATGGCAATAAAGATATTTTTCTTGTTAAAACATTGAATAATTTTAATACGTTCAACATTATTGATGATAAATAATGACTTTTATATAGTGTTTTTTCAAGACTTAGCATGAGTAAAATAACTTCACAGGTTTGAACAAAAAAATCCCAGAATGAGGATTTTAATAGTCACTGGTGCTTAGTTTAATTTGTAACAAACAAAAATGTAGGTAGAAAAAAAAACAAATATTGATAATATAGCAAGGGTCACAAAGCACTACCTGGAGACCCTAATCAGACTCCCCACCTCTGGTTAGGAAGTTTGCAGCTAGTACACACCAGCCCTACACACACACACACATATATATATTATGAAATGGACAAAGTCCGACAATTATTTTAAGACATTTTATGTTTATACATCCTTTTTATAGATACAAATATTTAAGTAAATGCTCTGTTTATAATAAACAGTATTAAACAACATTTACCGGCCTGAATGTCTGAGAAATTTTCATAGAAAATATTCATCCTCCGACAGGAATCGAAACTGTATCTTATATGGAACCGTCATATAGCCTGACGTGCCTTTTAACCAATTCAGCCACAGAGGATCATTCGGTTAGCAAAGTCAAATTTATAATGTAGAATTTAGAATGTATAAAGATAAAATATCTTAATATATATATATATATATATATATATATATATATATATATATATATATATATATATTAAAGTTTATGTAATATAAGATAAAAGCTTAAAACATAAAATAAACTAAGGGCTCAATGCCAAAGTTAACAGAGCCTAAATATTATACAATAATGGTAAGGAAAGCTGTTCATGAAGTTAAGATGATTATTTGTAGAGAAACCAGATACTGCATAGGAACTGCATAGGAACTGCCCAGATTGAATAGAAAGATGATTTGAGTGCCATATGATGATTTTGAGCAACAGTAAATACAAAAGGTAGCACTGCACTCTCTACCTATCATTAATAGCAGGAAAAAGCAATAACCATGACATGGAAAGTACTGATCAAATTCAGCCAATATAATGAAATGAGCAAAGGCTTTAATATGTTTCTGACTGAAAAACTCATAATACTACAATGAGTGTGTAGCTGTTGAATAAGAGAAGCAAGCTTATGGCCATATGCTGATCTAAGAAAAAGTATTTAATTAAAAATACACATCTGAGCAGGCGTTTGTGTTGAATTGGTTGCATTCTGAGTGATATTACAGTACAAAATTCATTTTTAAAACTCTTTTACATACGTTCAACACAAGTTCTTCCCATAAAGCCAGGTGTGCAAACACATTTGAATTTTTCATCTTCATTGAAACACTGAGCTCCATTCATGCAGGGTTCAAGTTCACATGGGTTAGCTGGAAATATAAATGTATTTATTCATTAAACTTCAAGGAAGATATGAGCAATTATTTTGAAAAATGAAATTATTACAAATACTTCAAATTTATATAAATATAAATTAAATACATTCAAATAAGTTGAAATATACATATGTTGTCTGATATCTAAGGTTTAAGCAGTTACTGAATGTGAAAGAATATGAGAAAAAAAACAGTATTAAGGAAAATGAATAATAAAAGAACAGAAATTACAAAGACAGAAGATAACATTTAAATTTTTGAAGTTCAAACTCAAATGGGAAGTAAGAAACCGGAAGAGTGTTTCACAAGTAAGAAGTAAAAGTGAAGAAACTGTTAGCATAGAACTTACAGTTATATCTAACCATTTCATATTTAAATTAATGATTCTTTGCCCCCAATCTACTACTTGGCTTGAATTAATGGTTTGGTTTGTTGTGTTTTACGGCATATCAACCTCATTGGGTTATTTAATGCTGACAACTTTTTTTCCTGGTAATATTTTGTTTTGTCAAAAATCTATTTCTGGTAATATTTTTTTCCTCAAACTGGTAATATTATTTTTCCTAAAGCTGGTTATATTATTTTAAAACATGTATTTCTGGTAATTTTTTTTTTCAAAAACGTATTTCTGGTAATTTTTTTTTTTTTTCAAAAATGTATTGCTGGTAAGATTTTTTTCTTTAAAAAATTATTTCTGGTAACAATTCTTTTACAAACTATCTCTGGTATTAAAACCCATTTTTACACTTTTATAATGCTTTTCATGTCAGTTTCAGGGTTAACTATTTGCCAATAGCTGGGACCCCTAACAGGTGCTACTACCCAGGGTCAGGATGGACCTGGGAACACCAGCAATTAAGAGGTGGTTCCATGCTCCTCAAAACCTCCTGATCAGAGACCTTGCTGTTGGACATCTTATCCAGGACATGGATGTAGTTTATCATCATACCCAGGACATTAAGAAAACAAAAAATAATGATTGACATTACATTTAAATGTTTGAAGATCAAATTTGATTGGAAAACAAGAATCTGCAAGAGAGTACCACAAGTAAGAAGTACAAGTGAAGAAACTGTTAGAATAGAACTTACAGTTATATCCAACCATTTCAAATGTAAATTAATGATTCTTTGCCACCAATCTACTACTTGGCTTGAATTAATAAAGTCTAGGTACCAAATGGGAAAGTTCATCAAAATAATTACCATGAAAGAATTTATAGAAAACACACAGAGAAACTAAGCTACAGTGGTGGGTTTGATATTATATAGCAGTTCAACACTATTTTCTTTTGAGTCTAATGAAATCTTCCTGTTTTGTAGTACTTATGTAATATCAGTTGTCCTCCATCAGAATGAATGTTAGACTTCACAGATGAAGAAGACTTGAAGGAACAAAAATAGGATTCTACAAAAAGAATTTGAGAACATCATGAACTGAACATATGAGTAATGACAAAGGGTTTTTTTTGTCTATTAATACAAGATAGAAATAGTCATTAGATATGGAGACTTACAGCAGGCATAAATACACTAATAAGTCATAACCAAACAAATGCTTTTCATTAGCTGTTAATTCACGACCTACTAAGATAAAGAACAAATAGGAAATGTTTATCAATCTAATATGTTTTACTTTTATTAAAGATTCATCAGAGAATGAGATATGGAGAAAAAGAAATAAATTCTGGTATTTTTACTTTTGTTTTGTTTGATTTTCATTGGTTAATCATGTTTCATATGCATTCAGCTTTTTAAACCAACGTTAGTATAGTTTGTGGCATTCTGAATTCAAGGAGAGATGACACATCCATCCAAAGTTTCAAGAAATTAATGGATTCCAAGCTTACTTGAAAAACCATAAAAATTGCTTTATGCATGTAAGTGTATAATAATACTAGTATATCTATATGGGTTTCAGATGATAATGTATATTCATAAGTTTGTGTGTGTGTGTGTGTGTGTGTGTGTGTGTGTGTGTGTGTGTGTGTGTGTGTGTGTGTGTGTGTGTAGTAGATATATTCAGTGGTGTTTCCCATGTTGATTTGGGAACATTTTTACATACTGTTTGTTTTAGATAAACATACATTAGATTCTTTGGGAGGAGATTCAATAACAGTTGGTGATGTAATATAATGTTTTTTATGTGTTTTTATAGTTGGTAATATTGTTATTAGTAGGTTCTTGAAGTACTTTCTACATAAATAATTACCATAATTCCCCATGTATAATACACCTTCATCTATAATACACACCCCTAAAATTGTGCTGAAAGTGTGGGAAAATGCTTCTACTCATGGATAATACAAACCCCTTGTTTGGTAATGAAACCCTATAAATTGTGCCTCTCCAATTTCATTACAGTCAGAATTTCCTACTCTTATTTAAAAAATTGTTTTAAACATAGAATAATATTATTCTACATTATTTACATTATTTGGACTATTGTCCTCATCTTTGTCGCTATATTTATCACAGCGTTTCAGCTGTTGTACACTCCGGCCTTCTTCAGGTGGTTGGAATTTCGAACTGAACCCTTTATTTCGCTCACTGGGGTAGACTGTTCAAGTTCCACCTGAAGAAGGCCGTAG